GTCTCTGGACACCTGTTCCAGTGTTTTGCGCCTTGATACAGTAAAAAAAGAAAAAAAAAAAAGTGTTTTCATATGTTCAGACAGAACTTCTTGTGTTTCAGCTTGTGCCTGTTGCCTCTTGTCCTTTCACTATATACCATGGAGAAGAGTCTGGCTCCATCTTCTTTACTGCTACCCCCATCAGGTATTTATTCACGCTGAAAAGATCCCCCTGAGCCTTCCCTTCTCCAGGCTGGACAGTCCCAGCCCTCTCAGCCTTTCCCCCTATAAGAAGAACTCCAAGCCCTTAATCATTTTTCTGGCCCTTTGCTGGACTTGTTCCAGTAGCCCATGCTTGTCTTGTACTGGGGAGCCCAGGGCTGGACACCACTCCAGATGCAACTCACCGGTGCTGAGTAGAGGGGAGGGATCACCTCTCTTGACCTGTTGGCGATGATCTTCCTAATGCAGCCCAGGACCTGTTGGCCTTTGTTGCCCTTGTGGCAACAACTTGGTGTCCATCAGGACCCACAGGTCCTTCTCTGCAGAGCTGCTTTCCAGACTCTCAGCCCCTGGCCTGTACTGGTGGTATGGGGTTATTCCTGCCCACAGGCAGAGCTTGGCAGTTCCCTTTGCTGAACTTCATGAGGCTCCTGTTGGCCTGTTGAGATCCCTTTGATCAGCAGCACAACCATTTGGTATAATCTGCCTTCTGCAGAGCGCTCTTCCTGATACCAAAAAAGTTAGAGGTTGGCTTAAATCTTGAAGGTACAAGGTATCACTACTTTGAAAAATTCAAGCACTCCTCTTGGTCATTTGAATGTCTAAGCACCCTTAGAAGTACATCTGAGAAGTACTTAGCTACATTCAGATCAATGTACCATCAGTATGGGATCACTGTATGACTCAAAAGTAGCAAATCATGAGACCTTTTTTCAAAGAAATAAGACCTTTAAGGAATTGTGAAGCTTTCTATAGAGGTCATACCTGTTCCAAAAGACTTAATTCCACCGGGTTTTTTTCAACAATCTGCTGAGACTATTTCGGTAAAACTCCAGCTTTAAGGCCAGGAGGTGTCTTGGCCTGGTAGATGTCTGGCAAGGTGCCATGAATACTTGAAGAATTTCCTTGAGCAGATCATCTCCCTTTAAATGTTTATGCATTTTACAGCTAGAGCATGGATCTTCTACAAGCTCTGAGCAAATTCTGCTGTTAGGCATATTCTACACTTCCCCAGCCTTTGGAGACTTTTCTTCGTAAAAGATTTTAAACTTGGAACATTTCACAATCTGTGAAAGCAAATTGTTCTTGATCGTCAGTTGGAGAGGGAAATTTCTTACTCAGTGAAGTTACTGCTACTTCTCCATCAAACTTGAGAGATGCATCAGGCTAGATTTTTCTAGAATTCTCCCAGAGCTTGTATTATTCAATATTTTCATTAATGAAAAGAATGAAAGTACAGAGGCTGATCTTATTAAACTTTTAGATGGCACCTTGCTGGGAGGGGCTGCAAATATGCTAGAAAACAGACTTAATATTCAAAACAGCTTTGATTATCTGAGAAAGTCTGGGGGAAAAAAAAGATGTTATTCAAAAGACATGCAAAATTCTACAGTTACTTAGGAAGAATCAGCTATTCAAATGTAGTAGACAGGGGTAGGACTAGCTACATGGGACCTACAATGACAGCATTGGAAGACAGGATTTGGACTTAGCACAGAAGCAAGTCCAAAATAAGCCAAAAATTCCTACAAGTCTGAGCAGTCTTCATCATTGCATATCTTTAAGAAGGGGGCAAATGCTGGTCAAGAATGACAGATACAGCTAGCCATGCTGTCGAATAGAGGGATGGACTAGAAAGCATCCCAATACATCTTTCAGTCCTATTTTCTGAGTTTTCAGTGATACTGTACCTGACAAGAAGAAAAGTTGCACTGCTTGTTTCAGACTGGTGGGCATCTCTGAGCTATGGCCTATCATCACTGACAGACCATATCAGTATCCATTTTAAGACAGATCTAGCCCTCTGACAATAGAAGGTAACAAGAAAACCAGCAACTGCTGCTTTTGGAAGTCTCTTCCAGAAGCTTTCTTCTCTGATCAGTAAAAGACTTTCTCAAATTTTCTACCTAAATAAGGGTTAAAATAAGTCTCTACCTTTTCTCTTTTATGCCCCTTACTTTAATTAGCACTTTTCCCCACTCTTCCTACTTCTCTTCTAATGTTCTTAATATATTTCAGTAACCAACAATGCTATCAGGACAGGATTTCTCTTTCTCTGAGGACTGAATAAGCCAAGTGATTTTAGTCTTGTGGGTACTCTACACAAAATGGATGCTTGCAGCACAGGGTCCAAGGGCTTGGATTCCTAGCCCAGGAATATTTTTTCCGAGTCCTGTTACAAGAAGATGTCCCCGGTTGATATAGAGGAGTACAAGCCATCTGTTGAACTCTAAGTCAACTGTTCTAAATCTCTTCTGGATGCATGCATCTCTTGCTCCTCAGGTCTTCAATAAGTGGTAATTATTCACCCTTTATAAACTGTAGAGTTTACCTGACAGGTTAAGTACAACTATTATTTTTGTAGCACAGGCAGTACAGGGAGGACATGCGTTTGGGTTGGTAGCTTACTGCCCACTATAGATTGGTGATTCGTCTACAACAAAACCAAGACAATAAGCAATGTACCTTATGGTCTGCAGTGGACTTGTAAGCTTTTGAAATCTCTGGTGTCTCTGACGACCCTTCTATAATTTCCTTATCCTTTCCCAATCTCTTTCCATGTGTCTCATCTTTTATTTTTCCAAATGCAGATAGAGATTGAACAACTTTTTCTAGAACCGTCCCCTTTCCTGTTGGTGATAGCTCATCCAAGGTGGACAAGTCCCTAAACTGCTCTCTAACCATCTGCTCTATAAGAACATCAGAGTAAGATGTGACTCTCTGATGTTACAGCCAATGTACTACTCATTTAAATACTGTAGTGGGATGCAAAGTTGCAGTGGAAGACTCAGTCTCTAAAAGAGAAGTTCAGCTCTGACAACTGTTCAAGTCAATAGAACTGTAATGGGGATTAAGTTAGCCTAAATACTTCTGACAAATTGTTCTGAGAAAGCATGTTGCTCTCTCTCCTCAACTCACATAGACACAGGTACTGAAGAATCCAGCTGATTCACAGACTGAAAGATGTGCCAGACCTGAAAGAAGGCTACCACAAGCAAGAGGCTTAGTGAGAGAAAGGATTTTTTTAAACCTTGGAGAAGTTCTGTTTTGAATTTACTTCTCCCTGATTTTAATATAAGCTTTAGCTGAACCAGAAAGAACATTCTAGATGTCTAGCTAAGAGGGGTACCACCATGAAGGAAAGATCCTACTCCTGGGAAGACCTGAACTAGTAATGCTTTGGAGACCTTCCTATCCTATTAGATATGGAATGAAAAGTTGTCCGTCTTACAGCCACTTGAGACCCAGCTCTTATAAAGTTTGAGGAAACTAAACTAATCACCATTAGAAAACAAGGGTCAGTAAGTGATAATTAAGTAGCTTGGGGATCTATTAAAAAAACTTTAGAAATCAATGTTTACACTATGCAGTTACAAATTAGCTGCAGTGGGCATTGTTAGGAAACCATTTTTATAAGACATACACTGAACGTGTGCACATTAGAAGAGTTCTCCCATGATTAGAAATCACAGCACAACTCATTTTATCCCATTCCTAAATTAGAAACTTAATGCCTCAGTTTATTAGCAGAAGGAAATTCTATTACATTCAAGCAATGCTAAGATACAGAAAAGCACGACTTTTGTGCAGCTCTGCAAAAAAACTAGCTGGAACAAAGCTGCTCACAATTATAGTTCAATGCTTCAGTGATTTAACAACTTGAATGAATTAATGACTATGGAGTCACAAACATCTAAGAATTCTCCAGTGATGATGGTCTTCAGGAAACAACGTAACTGAAGCAATGACACTGGTAGTCACAAGTGCTGGGACTTCAGGAGGAACGAGAGCCCTCTCAACACTCAGCACTTTGTACATGAACACACGGTTTGTTGCCAGTTGAATCAGCACATAAGTGCTCCCATATTCCACATTGTTCAGGAATTACTCCTAACCAGGAAGCCCAAAGAGCTTTGCATTAATCCCTATCTGAGCTCTAGCCAATCTGTGCTGTTCAGCGTGAGCCTCTGCACAATGGCACCTCCTCTGAGAGCTTCTGGAAGGTACAGGTCCCCAGAGCTTCCCTGGGGAGCCAAGTTCAACTACACCCAACTAATGGACAATGGCAAGTACATACAAGCTGTCTGCTCCCCCTAATAAATGTCCTGTTGTCCCAGATGTCCCATGTTGTCACCTGTGTTCTCTGGAAAACCTGTATTGTGGATAGTTAGCAAAAAGCCCACTACTTCCAGCTGCTTGCCTTTATGGACTATAGCCACCTAGCCTGACACCACCACCCTGAAAGGCAGCAATTTACACTCTCCCACTGCCCTCTGGAGTCTGGGAAATGTGAGTCTATTCCTCCAGAGCATGCACTTGCCTACAACAACTACTTCACGTGACCATGAAGTCTCCACAGAGCACACCCAGTCTGTAATTGTTGTTTCTTGCTGTTACTATGCATCTATATCACTTGTGAAACACTGCCAATCCCAGACTACAAAATCATACCACGTTTTCGTTCCACTTTTTCCATTTACTTATCTCAATCAACCCAACCATATATGATATCGGTTTCTGTTAGCACAGATGTGACAATCCACTGCAACTGAGTAGTGCCAGAAGTGCAACAGATTGACACTGCCCCCTTTCTGGCAGTATTTTGATATCACTTTCCACTAGCATAGTAGGTTTAGACACTGGAGATTAGCTGCACTACATGTAAGCTTGTGCTGAACTGCAGTCCATTGCCAGACATTATTGTTATGCATATGAAATCCACTGTTAGCAGATACAAGCAACCTGTTCCCTTATAATGCTGTAGTGCCTCCCAGTAAAGACTACCCAGCGATATGAAAATGGCTGCTCAGGATTCCCCCACCAAGCTGATGCGAGCCTACTTCGTTAACTTCCTTCTAGAGGGTGAGTGTTTTCCACAAGCACGCGCTCCTCCATTTAACGTCACTTGTATTTCTGACTATTGAGGGAGGCAGAGATGTCTCGCACTGCCTTCAGGCTCTAAATGGCTTTCTGTATCTTTATTTTCCTGCAACACTTCAAGGATCAGTTTTCTTCATGCCTCAGAGAAGTGGTATCTAAATCGTTTTAAACTGAAACAGGGACAGAATAAGCTGTGCAAATCATTTTCTAGTAGAACCTTAATTACATCCTGCAGTGTCTCGTCCTCAGCAAACCACTAGCAATAAAATTCTGCATTTCATTTGAGAACCGACAGGGCTGGGTTTTTCTGTTTTGTTTTCTCCAATTGACATATACATAATCTAGCCTGGGACTTTGTTCCACAGCATTTTTGTCAAAGGCTCTAGAGAGTATGCCTGCAACTACTAAATCTTTCTCAGGTTCGTATTCAATTTGCAAGTTATACAACTGTAGCTAAAGAAAGAGACATTCTGTTTGCAGGAAGGTGTTTGCCAGATCCCCACTGGCAATGGCAAAAAGTGATTTATGATCAGTTTTAGTTAACATGGCCTCTCAAACAGATTTTTAGAAAGTCTTTACAACCATGGCCTAATCCCAAGGCCTTTTCTATAGGAATATACCCAATTTTAGCTTGTGTTGGTGCCCTACAACTCAAATACAAAGGCAAATGGGTACAAATATTGAATACATCCTCTAGATGAGACAAATGGCTTTTTACCTCCCAAATCTACCAGATCCCCCCATGCTCCACCATTACAAAACTGTGCCTTTTCCAGTTTGTTGTTTGTGCAGGGGCATTGATAATGTTTAATCCCTCAGTTCATCCTTCTGTGCAAGAGTCCTACATTTTCTTAACTCCTCCAAGGAAGGTGGATTTGCCTGTTCCCTTTTTTAGGGGCACAAATAAGGGTTAAATACATTCCTGACCCCATGTTTATATGTGCACTTACACGTACAGTTCACACTAAACAGGTGTCCCTCTCCCCTTTTGGGGCTGCTACCCTCTGTTGCCGTTATAAAAAAACTCTTTATAATACTGTCATCACTGTCATGAGCACAGGCATCCCCCAGCACATACAAATTCCTCAAGGAATGAAACCACAGCAGCTCTTACATCTTCACTCAAGCAGCAGATGTAGTTGGTTTCTGTTGCTCCCACAGAGTACACAAGTACTTAAACTTTGACCTCAGGCTTGAGCTATAGATGCTGTGCCCACTTTTTCTTGGATCGTCCATTGTTTCCATTGCCTTCACAAACCCTCAGGCTGTGCTGAAGGCAGGGTTACTGATTTCATTCACTGGCAGACTCGGATGGTGTTTCATCAGGACCAAACTCTGGGATCTCCTGCACTTGTTTTGGCCAATCCAACTCAGCAGTTCTTCAGGCCCTTGCAGAGCCTTAGTCTGAGCCTTAGTTCACGACCCCAGTCCTCAGTGTGTGTCATATTTTGGTATTACACTTCTCATGCAGTGTTCCAGTTGCTGTAACAGTTTCATAATTAGCCTCATTTGCATAAAATGATTGAATATTCAATACCAACATCCCCAAGCCACATACTGCAGATGTGGCCAGCTTTTCTGAATCCTGACAGCCACAGCCCAACACCTCCACAAGGCTGCATGTTACAGGACACAGCTCAGAGCCAAAGGGAAAAGAAGCTCCACAAGGAGATCAGCAACAGGAAACAGTCTTGACTCTCTAGAAGCCATGTGGCTTCTTGTGGGAAAGACTGGGCTCAGCCCCAGAAGCCCTGGTAATGTCAATCATAGGTTTTGAACCTCAGCGCCTGTATAGCTTACTTCCTCCCTCTGCTGAGCTTTGAGACTACCTAAACCTTTTGCAGCAGCCTAGCCCAACTGACAATCAAGTGTGAAAGCTGTAAGAAGAGACACACATCAGCTACCTCTCAACTATTGGAAGCTTCATTTATAATGTCTAGGTATTATTTCCCCTTTTACTAGCACCACCTTTTCCAGCTGCGCATAAGCCTTCTCTAGTTGTCCATACTTCTGGAGGGCAGGTAGGATGGCCATTCTTCATATGAAAAATTCACCATTATTTGAGTTCAGAAAACCTAGGACTTCCATTTAGTGAAAAAGAATGAATTAAAGGAGAAAAGCCTCCACTGGCACCCCTGCTCAAACAGCAGCAATTAGCAAAGCCAGACCACAGCTCCGAGAGAAACTTAAGATGTAGGAAGCACATTTTCTTTAAGCTTAGTCTTATAACCAGCTTAGAGAACCACACTCTTTCCCAAGCACCCTTCGTCTAACCTATGTTGAATATGTAAAGCAAGGACACCAGACTTACAGCCAAGTGATTTTCCACTCCAGGCACATGGAACATGATGAAAGTAAATTTGTGGGTGTTTGTGCCTGATTTGGCAGAGAAAAAAAATGAGGGAGGGACTGTGTTGGAGGGAGGGTATCAAAGATCAGAGCCAGATGCTCCTGCACAGAACTCTGGATTTGCAGGAAATTAAGAAGGTAGAGAAGGTGAGGCAAAGGCTGTGTTTGAAGTGAGAGTCAAGGGGTTCTGAAGCTTACAACCATCCAAGGTGCTTGGGGGAAACTACAGCGCATGCCAAAACCACACCACAGTGGCCTGGGGTGCTTTCATTATACAAAGCCTGGGAGAGCAGAGGCTGTAAATGTAGCTTCAAAAGGAGCTTCGTCTTAAAGTCTTAGCTCTCAGGGCCTATTAAACATTTATGCTGACTACCACTCCTACTCTTTGCTTCAGAGAAAGCACCCGAAATAACCTTTGCTACAGAGCGAACTACTACAGCTCTACTGGCTGTGTAGTTGACTAGTGGGTAGCTGTGAGAAACAACCAGAAACAGTGTTGGAACAGTGCACTGATATCTCTATTCAGTCAACTGGGAAAAAAAGCAGGAAAATCTGGTCTGAAACCTGAGAGGGAAGACAGAAAACTGTGCTAGAAATAATGGGTGGATTAGCCATGTAGAGATGGCTAAGACTGAGTGAGGTCAGTGAAGGCAGATATCTATGAGTATTGAGAATTTTTGCTTTTACCTTACTTAAGATTCAACACTTTTATGGGAGTCTTCAGACCACCCTCCAGCTCTGGATCTATGACTACTGCAGCTGTGAAAGAGACTGTAGAGGAAAAGGAAGAAAGAATATTCTATTCAGAAATCAAAAGGAAGACAGAGGGTCTCTAGGAGAAGATTGAAATAAAGGATTAATTCGCCTGATTTGTTTAAAAATTCTTCCAGTGTGCAACAGCAGTTTACGATGAGACGGCCAGAAGTACACAAGGTTTTCACTCTGGGAAGCTGTTACTACTAATAGCAGATAATACAACATTCACTTATTCCCTCATAGTTAATCCATACAGTCACTCAGTTCCTCAGTTGGAGCAACAGTCAGAGAACAACCCCAGTTGCATACTCAGTATAGGGTTGTGCTGACACACTAGCAGTTTCCAAGCAGGTGTTCAACAAGTCCCTCAGAGTAATTTATTTCAATGGATGCACACTTAATCCTGCAGTCTATGTCTGCGTGTAGAAGCCCCTGCCCTCTAGCCACACAGCCTACAGTTGATAACGAGCATTCCCTTGTGGCCTTGCACAGACTGGGCAGACACTTGGTGCCCGGACTTTCAGCTCTTGCAAATTCAGCAGGACTACCTGTCTCCAGAATTTATCAATCCTTGGGAAAACTTCACACTCCTTCTCAGCACATGCTTTTCCTCTTTGGTCTGTTTTCTGGTAATTATTTCTCCACCCAAACCTACAGATACCTACAGGACCAGTTCAGTTACACACAAAAGAGGCCTTCATGACAACTTTATGGTGCCTTGTGCGGCTAAACACTCAATATTCACTCTATAGGTAGAAACGTAACATCAATGTGGCTCCTTCCTATTAACAAGCATCTACAGAACCTCCTCCTAGAATCCAAAGCCGCCAAGCTGGATCTGAGCTAGGAAAAATGGAGGTTTAAGTGTTGATATTTGACTACACAGGCCCCACAAAGAGGGGACAAGGCTTACCACACTCCACCTAGGGAAGAAACATTGACCGACTGGTCTGGATTCATGTTAGGATAGCATCTGCTTAGCCCCAGCCTCCCTGACCTACATTAATTTGGCTGCTTATCAGCATGGTTATTACATCCAGCATCAGGTTAGTGAGCCTGTCTCCTGAAGACTGGCCAAATATGACTGAACAGACCCAAACACTAAGTGGGGATAGTTTTGAAGACTGTATTCTTAGAAACCATATTGCAAAGAGAAGGTCTTGTGCATTATGTTGAAAGCACTCAATGACCCGTTCTCAATCCTGCTGTTTGCCTTCTTTCTTATGGTCCACATCCTGCTGCAGAGGAGTTTTGACAGATCAGTCTAAACCTTTTTACCATAATGACAAGATTCATGATTTGAACCTAAATGATTGAATTGAATCAGGCCTTGGCAACAGTAAGAGGTCGGGCCAGGAGAAGGAGCCTTACACAGGTTGGACAACCTGCTTGATGAATTCAGGTGTCTGGGGAAGTTCCCCCCAAAAAACCCCAAAGGGAGCGAGGGCCACCAGGTACACAGGATCTGCACGAGACTCGTGGGATTCCCGAGGCGCACGCGAGCGGAACTAGGAGGTTATTTGAAGAGACTACCTCAGATGCACGCTCAGACCTTCTCTGGGCAGCGGGTATTTTTTCAGCACAGTCCCCACCAACTGTCGGTTCCCCCAGGCCAGTGCCTTGATTTCCGTAAGTTACAAAAGCCGCCTGCGGTCCCGACGCGGCCCCGCCGGGGTCTCCCCACACAGCGCTCTTGCCCGGGGACGGGCAGCGCCGCCACTGCGCCGCCGCGGGAACTACAGCTCCCATCAGCGCCGCGGCACAACGCCGGCTC